GAGGAGTGACAACAGAAGTAATGTAACTAATTATGTTTTGAGGGGTAAGTGTAATGTTATTACTGACATGTATTAATAGTTAGTTACAGTAGTTACTGGGGTATAAGTAAGTAATATTATCACTAGTAAAGCCTTTCTTCCCACAGCAGGTGTGGCCCACTGGCTTTGTGAATAATGTGAATGCTCATGAAACCCGATATGTGGACTCGAGTGGCACTATTTGTCCTCCATACTTTCGACACACTAACACGGAAGCCCGAAGTTCACTCCAGATGTTTCTTGTCGCTACACATGAACCACAGAGATGGAAAAATATCCGCTCTGAGAGTCCTCTGACCAGATTTAACAACGACATCCAATGGCGAAGCCAGCAGAGACCCGGAGAGGAGCCTGTCCATCAGAGACACTTGGTAAGCGGACAGCGCTGCTGTCAACACACACTGAAGCACACACAGCTCACTTCCACCCAACTGCACACAGCGAGCACATAATCGATGACTTTACACACTTTTTATAAAGAGGAATATGACTGTGAGTGTGTGTGTATGGTGGGATATATCGATCACATGACAGAACAATGTGTTGTGTAGATTATCGGAGACTTGGACACAACCCCGGAAACAGCAGTGTGACTCCTCTGGTGAAGGCCTACAGCAGAGACAGGAAGGTCCAATGAAATGTATGTAGGAAATGTACTTTCAGGGGAATTAAGAGGCTATTTTGAGAAGAACAACAGCAGGAAGCAGTTTTCTCTTCACATTGAGGCTGATCCATTTGCATGTTCTCACTTTAAAATATTCCAGTGATTTTGTGCTGATGTCTCAATCCAGCCTGAACACAAGTTAGAAGGACTTTATTTATACAACCCTGAAAAAGGCTAATGACTTTAAACTGACACGTTGCTGTGAGACACATCCTCATTTAACAGCTTTTTATCTCCTTTCTGCTTCACAAGTGCCCATTCTTTCATTATTATGTGGTAAACACCAATGTAACGTTGTGTTTGTGAAATGTAAAACAACTTTATACTCCACAAAGAATGTGAATCTTTCATTCTCTGCTTTATTTCAGGGTCTGAGACAAGAG